AAAAATTTAAAATAAGAGCAAAAAAGAATTTTGAAAATAACAAATTAAAAAAAAAAAATGAAGGGCCTCCTTCAGGGTATTTCTCTGCTGTCACAATAGACAACATGGGTGACAGTATGCAAATATAAGTCAATGAGTCTCAGCCAGCCAGTAGCACACACATATGATTCAGTCAGATTTCTGGCTGCAAGTCCCAAGTTGAGCTCCCTGTGCTCCTGTAGGGTTGAACTCTGCTAGGTTCTAGTGCAGATTCCAGCTTCCCTTTCCCTGATGATAGTCCAGGTTCTGATGGGAGGTGATGATCCCTCCAACTTACCAAGTACAGTGGTCTGGTGTGCCTTTATTATTTTCGCTTCACTTTTCCAGTGGGCTTCAATTTTCATCAAGGAGCCTGAGAGAGCCCCTCTTTCTGTTGTTCATTTCTGCTCTATCTTCTGGAATTCAGCACAATGGCCTTTATGACCCCCTGTTCCTCTGTAGTGTCGAAGCAGGTACTGGCACAGCCAGGAAGACAATGGGGGGCACCTTAGCTGTTCACTGAGGTTTGGCCCTTAGGCGGGCTCCTCACCGCTGAGGTCCTCACTATTTGTGTGCATGTTGCTGGGGACGGGGCTTCTTCCTGATATTCTTATGGAAAGGGATTCTCCCTCCAAACAATAACCACCTTCCATTTCATCCTTCCTTCCTGAAAGCCAAGATGTCCACTTAATACAGTATGAAATTGTTGTTTCTGATAAAGTAGGCACATTTTATAACTTTTTGTTGAATACACTAGAAAAATTATTGGTGTTTCTGGTAAATTACACACATTATACAACCCTTTTTTATTATGAATAGGTTAGTTAAGGGGTGCTTTGGAAGGTTCAGAATGCATTATGGGTATTTTCCTTATTTCTTATGGGAAAAACAGTCTTGACCTACAACCAACTTGAGTTACAGCCAGCCCTCATGAATGAATTGAGTTCATAAGATAAGGGTCCACTGTATTGTGGAAACATATTCTTTTGAAGGATATTCAAGAATCTGCAAAGTATCTGTTGCACCATAAGTGCTATCAGACTGGGGCTGGAATCATGATGAAGATACATGGTGAAGCACAGTCACAGAATGAGAGCAGCATAATCCACAGCATGGTGGGGTAAGGGTGAGGGAGGGAGGTCCATCCCAACAAGAGCAGTTTGTTTCACTTCCTGAAAGGCTGAGAATAGGACAGAACCTTATTTTCACATTATCCCATTGGTCTTTGGCCTTTCAATGAGTCCCTATGGCTGAGGCAAAGCAGACTTCCTTGCTTCTGGCTGACAGGTCTCAGGTTGAGGATCAGGTTGCCCATACACATCTGATTAGGCTGATCACCACAAAGGTGAACACACTGTTTACTACAATGGCTGTGTCCTTAATTACAGGACAAGAGTCTCCCACCAGGGACCAGGTAATACACTTGCTGTTTGTTTATGCTTGGGAGACTTTCTTCATTTCTTTGTGTAGGGGGTTCAATGGTTTATTTAGGGGATGATTTTTCCCCTCTGGTTGCCCATTCTCATTACCTATGCATCGTGTAAATCTATCAATATCCCAGCATAGACAAACTGGGAGAGGCTATCTGGAGATGCAGCCAGAGGTCAGTGTTCGTTTGAACTCTCCAGGTTATTCCGATGGACAACCAGAGTTCAGAGCTGTTGCTTTGGCATAGTGCTTTACCAACACTAAAAGAAATGGAGTCTTCTAGAGATCTCATTAAAAATGCAGGTTCTAGGGCTGGGAATTTAGCTCAGTAGTTTCTCTGCCTGCTGTGCAAGCACAAGGACCCGAGTTCAATCCCCGGTACCAAAAAATAAAAAAATAAATAAAAATGCAGGTTCTGATTTCATATGTGAGGGAGGACTCAAGATCCTGTGTTTATAGTGAGTGACGCTGCACTATGGCCCATACTTTGAACAGCAAGACTGTCATTCTTGTTCCGCTCTCAATGGCTTAACCTCACCTTGACTTTTCTAATTTGTTGTTTTTTAAAAATCAGTATTCATTAGTGCAGGTTTTAGTAAATGATCAAACAGCAAAAGTGCTGAAGAGAAGCCTAGTAAAAGGCCTCTTTTTGTTGTTTTTGTTTTTTGAGACAGAATCTCACTCTGTAGTTCAGGCTGGCCAAGAACTCACTATATAGCCCAGACGGGCTTCCAGTTGGCAGCGATCCTCCTGCCTCAACCTCCTAAGTGCTGGGATTGCAGATGTGTGCCACCATGCCCAGCTAAGACCTCATTAGTGCTTAGCAGCATGGTAGTCAGCACTGACCTTGGCCTGAGCATTTTAGATTGCAGGGTAGGGATCAGAGTCTTTGAAGTAGCCTCCAAGGAAAATGATCAAGGAAAGTGGAAACACTGAGTTCTAAAAAACAGTGAAGGATTTTCCTGTAAAGAGAAGCAGAAGTCCAACAACAGATGAATGGATAAAGAAAGTGTGGTATATACACACAATAGAGTACTACACTCCCATTTGGAAGGACAAACTTGAGTCATTTGTAGGAAAATCAATGCACTGTCAGACTGTAATGTTAAGTGAAATGTAATGTTAAGTGAAATGTAATGTTAAGTGAAATAAATCAGACACACAAGCTTAAATGTGACGTTTTTTCTTACATGAGAAATCCAAAGTATAATCAAATTAAAGAACAAATAAAACATAGATAATAGGAAACAGGAAATTTCTGCAGAAAAAAGTGATAAACATGAATTAAGATGTTTTATGTACATGTATCAACTCCCCATAATGAACGTAAGCATTATGTAGTGCAAATATGTACTAAAAAAAAACAAAACAAAAAAAAAGAAAGAAAAGGAGAGAAGCAGAGGAATCTGGACAGGAGTGAGATCCTGAGAAGGTTTTATTGATTGATAGATTGATTGATTGCTTTTAGGATTCCAGATGCTGCAGCCTGTTTGACTCCCAGGATATAATCCAGGAAAGAATGGTGGGAGACTTGATGAATATGAACAAGAAGGGTGAACCCTAGAAGGAAAGTCCTCAACAGGTGAGAAGGACAATGACTGGTGCACACGCAGAGAGCACAGCCTGAGAAAGGTATGATCAGCAGAGAATTGGCATATCTGTGGTAACTGCACATGGAAGATTGATCCATTCTGACTCTCTCTATTTTGTCTATCACATGGAAGGCAAAATTGCCAATAAAATATTGAATGGATGCAGAAAGAATTAAAATTGTGAAGCAAGAGGAGATATAAAATGGTTTACTGAAGAAATTAGTGAATTCTTTAAGGAAATGTAATGGCAGGTATAATAGAGAAACCATACTTTATACTGTTTAAGCTCTATTCTCTCTACATTTTGTGCTCTGTATTTTTCGATAAATTTATTACTGAAGCTTTACATGCATTGTGGAAAATGCACATATTATAGTGTTCAGTCCCATTAATAATCACAAGATGAAAACATTCACATGGCCAATGTTTAGAAGAGATGAAACATTGCCAATATCTTAGGAGCTCCTCCCATACCTTTTCCCCAGCATCATGAGCTCCTTGTCTTGATTTCTGTTACAGTGTATTATTTTTTGAATTATCTGAACTTTAAATTAAGGGATCTGTATACCTTGTACTCTTCTACCTGCAGCCCTTCTGGCTCAAACTTATGTTTATGAGATTCATACATTTGACTTCATGTAGCTGCAGTTCATTCCTTTTCCTCTACTTCTGTAACAGGGTTCAGCAGACAGTTCTTTAAAGGGCTGGAAGATAGTCAGTATTCTGAATTTGGTAGGTCCTATGATCCTTGTTCCAACTACTCAACTCAGCCCCAAGTATAAAAGTAACCATATAAATATACAAAATAAATAGAAGAAATGCACTCCAATAAAACTTTATTTATAAAAAATCAGTGGGCTGGATTTGGCCTGCAGAGATTGACGTCCATCTGTCTCAATGTAGTGTTGCTATTATGAGTATGCTAAGAATTACTTTTTATACTGCTATGGATGTGAGTAGTTGTGAGTTATTGGCTATGAAGTCCTGCCAATGAAGTGGGCCAATATGAAATCATTGGCTAAAGAAGTCTGCTATAAAAATTCTTGTGAATGTTTTTGGATGTACTTATGTATATATTTTTGGGTGTGAATCTAGGCACAAAATTGTTGGGTCAGAGAGGATAGTTCAGCTTTTTGTACATGTTATCAGTTTTTCAAAGTGATTTCAACAAATTAAGATTCCTACTTTTAATGTTGAAAATTGTAGTTGCTCCATATTCACTTCAAATTTTTATTATTGGCCTTTAAAATTTTAACTGTTCTGGTGCATATGTAATGTTATCTCATTGTGGTGTTACCTTGAATATCTCTGGTGGTGAATGAGTTTGAACATCCTTTAGTACTGGATATTCTCTTTTGTGAAATTCTTTGCAGGAGACCAGCTTGAAACCACACTGAGCAGGCTTTACATATTATTGATTTGGCTTATGAATTCAGCTATTGATTAAGATTATGAGTCTCTTCAAGGGAGGATTAAGTGTGAATTGCTAATTGACCTTTCAGCTAGTGTTCAGAGAAGACTTCCCTATGGCAATGGTCACAATTGAAGTCTCAATGATTGATGAAGCTGTGATGTCTCTATAGCAAGGAAACACTCCAGCTGAGGAATAATGACTGTACAACATCCTCTAGGATCAAATGTTAGATAAGATAATGCAGGTGGCTTGCTATTACCCTGTAAAATAATACCAGTGGCTTGTTAACTATGACATGTCCTTCACAAGCATATGGAGTTACTCCCTTTTCCAAGCCTGGCTCATTAGTGCATTAGTTCTCCCACTCCCTACATCTGTCTTCATGCCCCCTTGCTATGTTGTATAAATCATAAATGCTGTCTAATGCAGTGCTTTTGGTCTCAGCCAGGATACAGCTAAGATCAGGTGGTCTTTAGCCAGGAGAGAGATAAAGATCAATTTCCAGTCCTCTAAGTAATAAACTTCATTCATTATTCTTTATTCCTTGTTCTTTGTATGTTATTCTTTCATTCCCCACTCTCCCCTCATCCAGCAACTGGGCATCCCCTGTTAACTGGTTAGGGTATCAACCTGACAACCGATCAGGCTATCAAGCTGACATTTCTTTTTACATGAATTTCATGTGTGTGTTTGTTAAAATTCCTTGTTGGATATAGTGCAAATATTTTCTTCCTCCCTCTGATCCTCTCTGTGATTGCTATTTCACTTTTTTCTTTTAAGGATTCTCTGTTAAGCACAGCATTTTAAGATAAAACTCTCTTTTGCGTTTTAGTGCAAATTTGTACCATTGCATTTGAACAAAATGTACTGAATATTACACTGGATTACTGGCACTATTCTTTTGACAGATTTAACATGAATTATCTGATTTATTATATAACAATATCATGCAAAATCTGTGAAAAATGATAAACATGTTTCACAATTTAGTTTAAAAGAAAAAACCATTATTTTCTCATCGAAACCAATCATGAAAATATTCAAAATTAGTGTGTCGCAGGAAACCTCTGTTTATAATACTCATTTAACAAATGTATACTGAGTTCTCATTTTTCTGCCACCAGTGCAGAACTGTCACAGTGGAGATGTCAATAAAAGATTGAAAACTAACACATGAGACGGAAGAGAATGAGTGCTCAGATCATTGGTTGAAGAATCTTCAATTAGGTCCAGTAAACCTCTGGCATAACATAGTCCCGGGAAGATTCTAGCTGCTTTGCAATTTCAGAAGCTTGGGAAAGTCGTAATGAAATATAGGATTCAGTTTTCATATATCCTAGGAAAACTCTGCCGTGAGTGAGAAATTTCTGTAAATTGTAAGGAAGTAAGCCATAGAGTCCAGAGGGAGAAATTTAGAAGCAAAGAGAATAATTCAGTGTAAATGTCCAAAAGCAGGAACCTGAACATCTTTTCTTTCAGAATGTATTCTTAGTTCATATCATACCTTTGTGGTATCAAGTTTTGGATAATGATTTAACTCAACAAATAAATACCTGTTTAGTGGAATCATGCCACAGAAGACTTTGCGCCATAAGCAAGGCAATCTCAGGATAAAAGGGTCAGGTGTAGAGAGTCATATGCAGAAACTGAGATTGTGTGGAACTCACCAGCATGACCAGGGGTCCCATTAGCTAGGGAACTCCTGTCTGTATTCCACGTGAGGAGGAATTATCCAATGGCAGCTCATCTGTCACATAGAAAGCTTACAAATCTAGATTTCCATTTTATCCATATGAGCAATTTTCTGCTCCTTCATGTTTTTGCCACCTTCAACAGGTCCATCCTGCCCCATTTGACCCTAGAGGAGCCACAAATACTAGTGAGTAAGTGAAGGACACGAATGGAGAAATTAGGGGGCTGCTCATGCCTCCTTTGCCCACCAGTGCCTCTGCCGTGGGTGCGTCTGAGTAGGAACTCAATCATTTGACTTAAAGGAGTTTAAAAGTATATTTGGTGGGACTAAAAATTCAATAGCAACAGGTATGTTTTTTATTAACTGAGATTGGCCAAAGGGAATATAGGACCCTACAGACATTGTCAACTCTGAGAGGGACAAGACCATGGACTGAGTCCAGATGACACTAGGAAGACACATAAATTGCTCCCTACGGAGCCCAGCTCTGTTATAAAACCTATTTAGTTTTCCTGTAGTGGTCACTGCTGGGTCCAATTGATGGTGATTACATCTATAGTAACACGGGTCACTAACACCACTTAAAAAGCCCTTAGGAACGATGGCTTTTAAAAGGCAGCATGAGCATTTCAACTTACTCAAACCCATCTGCAAAAAGTACCAAAGGAAAGAAAACACTGATTAAAGATAGCCATTGTTTCCCCTGAAAAGGTCTCAAGAAGAAGTAAAAGAAAGAAGACTGGAGGGAAAAAAATTATATATGAAAATAAGAAAATGAGAAGAAAAATAAATTATGAAATAATAAAAATTACATCAAGAAAACCTATACTTTTTGGTTGGTTATGGAAGACCATTCAAATATGATTCCAACTTCCTTTCTTATGCCACCTACTCCCTCCTGTGTCACAGTGAATTTCTTGCTCTTGCCTTCTGGGCCTGGCTCTCCTGGAGTACCTGCTGCACCATGCGTGTGGCTCTGCCACTCCTGCCTTCAACACCTGGGCTAAGGTCACCTCCTCTGTGCAGACATCCTGTCTCCTTCAAGCGCAGAGGACTGTGCTCAGCCTTGCCTCCAGATGAGTTCTTGTTCTTTGTCTGGTTCCCTGAACTCCTCTATTCCCTGCAGCCAGTTGTCAGCATCCTCACCTTCACTGACATCCTCAGGTCCTTCAGTGTAGGTCTGTTTCTTTTACTTTTATGTTCAGAACCTGGCATAATTCCTCACACATATTAGATAATCAGTGGTTAATTTAGTGAACTAATAATGAGCTTTTGGTATCTGACTAGCGACAGAATAAAGAAGAAATCATGTTGCTGGTATACATCATTAAGTTCCAACAACTCCATTTATTTATTATTAATTTCCAGGGCTCTCAACAACAGAGACAAAGGCACAAAACATTTCTTCTCCCAGCACTGAAGAGTTCTGCAGGAGACTGGCCACATCTGTAATGAGGGCATCCCGGACGGCTTGGAGCTGAGCCAGGCTCTCCAGCCATAGGAGGGGAGGCCAGAAGGCCAAGATGCAGAAGGTGCAGCACTGATGAGCTGACTCCAGCAGGTACTGAAGGCTTGGGCTGTGCAAGGTACTCTAAGTCATGAGAACAAGTGCTCAGCAAGCAAGGCCTTACTTAATCAAGAAAACCCTTAGTTTTCCAAAATTTCCCTTTAAAGGAATGCTGCAACACTTTCTCCTTCCCATTCCTGTCTTCCTTCATCTATAGACGCTTTTTTCTCCTTTAAAACCAAACTGCCCCCTCATCACATAGGTGCTTTCACTCAGAGATTCAGGTTTGTAAACTGTTTTTACAGCATCTTGGATGTCACCTAGCTTGAGTGGAGCCCAAGGCTGTGTTAAGCCTCATGCTGGTCCCCTGAGCCTGGACAGCACGCAGGGCCTCCATCCCTAAGTCTATGGTGTGAGGACCTTGCAGAAGCTCTTTGCTGTTGGTTTCTGTTAATCCTTTTCCCCAAACTTTTAAAGTTACAAAGTGCTCACAAATCACTTAAAACATATAGAAAAGTCTAGTAAATTTGTGAAGTGTTCATTGAGTCTAGAATCAATGTAATGCCAGACCAAATAAAACATACATTCTGTTGAGGAAAACATCTTGTTTTCTATTCTAACTTCAGTATTTGCAGAAATTTTACTAAACTTCAATAAGTTTTGTTGCAATTTTAGTTTTCTTTTCCTATCAAAGTGCACATAGTGTCTAAACTATGGGTAGATCATGAGCCCTGTCAGTAGGTCACCACTAACTATTCTAGTGCCTCTAAGATCTGACTTCTAAACTAAAGGTCTACATTCTTCATATTATTTTGTAAAGAACATAGTATGTGTAAAACATATTAATAAAGTATTAATAAAGTGCTATAGAAAGTAAATTCTGCTTAGTACCATGGTCTTCTGAAGTAACTGGAACTCAATTGTTTTTAAAAAACAAAGGGGTTATACTTAGTACCCTCTAAACTTTTTTCAAATTCTAATATTCTGTGACTATTTCCAGATTTCAACAAAGGGAGTTGATAATTGTGCAGAACTCTGGCAAGCATCCCTGGGGGATAAAATAATTTGTCAAAAATCATAGAATTTATCAGTGGCAGAGCTGAGATAGGAATTCATAGTTTCACTACAATATTCTTTACTTTTGAAACCCTGTAACTAGATATTCCCATTAAAATTTCTATTGTTGGAGCTGGGCATGGTGGCACACATCTGTAATCCCAGCACTTGAGAGGCTGAGGCAGGAGGCTTGCCATGAATTTGAGGCCAGCCTAGGCTACATAGTAAGCTCAAGGGCAGCCTGACCTACATAGCGAGACCCTATCTCAAAACAAACAAACAAACAAACAAATTTGTATTGTTTGAACCATTTCATTTCCCTTCTTTTTCAAATCTTTTTCATAGTAAACAATGACATAATTCTTTTTCAATTAAAAGGAATGCCTACACACATACACTTAACTTAAAAATATATGTTGTATAAAAAAACTGCTTTTATTTGGAATAACACAATTATCAAAGTTATATAATGAATGTTACAAAATTTAATTATTATGAATCGCATTAATATGTTTAATCTTTGAATTAATGGTCATTTTCTAAAGTTGGTTTTACCTGGTTTTACTTAGAGTTGAATGTATTTGTACTTGTAATTAATTTTCCAACCTCCCACAAAATTATCTTCATAACGAGTACTTTAGAATATTTATCTAATGACATTTACATTTCTCATAATTTTTGAATATGAATCTCACAATAACAATGTAGTGCAATACATTGAGTCCAAAAAGAATCATTCAGCATACAAAGTACTATTTCCTTGAGAGATCTGAAATTTCATAAATAGAAAGAGGGAAACTTTTTGAATAATTATAATTACAAGATTGACTTTATAGGAGCATGACTGAAGTGCTTAAGACTAGAAAACATTCATTTCTAATAAGTCTGTTTAAAGCTTTAAAATTTTGATGCACTATCTTTTTACATTCTCCATTTTTTCAGTTTACATAATTAGTTATTGTAACTTTCTATGCATGTATAAATTAAAACATCTTGAAATTATTTGCTACTTACACTGGTGATAACTGTAATTTTCAGTGTATATCAGATATAGAGTCAATGTCTACAAATAATGTCATAAATGTATTATATCTCTTTAATCAATGAGGAAAATGAGCAGTAGAATAGAATAGTACACACCCTGCAGCTATGCAGCTAGGGCTTTACACTTAAAATCCCAGTGCTTTAACTTACACCAAACTGCCTGGAGTAAAAAGTAATGCTCTCTTTATTTCAGATGTTTTTCCCTGCAAGCAATGATTTTAAGAGAACATTTTGACACACTGGTTATCTCCATGGCCCTTGGCATTACATAACCTGAACTTCCATCCTGGTTTGCAACTTGTTTTCAGGGAGTCCTTATTTGGCTCCCTTGAGCTTCATTATCTTCCTATGAGAAATGTGGGTGATAGATGCTTTGAAGCTATGGGAGGGTTAAATGCAGTTGGGAATATGACGTACCTATCACATTGCTTGGTGTGTAGTGGGGGCTAGGTCCAAGGGGACTTGTTATCTTAAGTTGGCCTTTCAGATTGTTTTCAAAGTGGGTTAATACACCTTAATGAACAAATTTTACTCAGTACCCATTCAATTAAGATCATCTAGTTACTGTTACTTAGAATGTATTATCCAGACAGATTCAGACTGTCTACCTGGAGTGAACTGGAATCTCTGAGAGGACAGTCAGAGACTGCATGCATTGTTCAAGGGTTCTTCTATCCAGAAAGTCAAAAGCCACTCAGATCCAGTGACTTTGCACAACATTATTGTCAGCACTGTTCTAAAATTTCTAATATTTCCTCTCCCCGAAAGATGTGCTTTCTGAAAAGAATGAGCTGAGACCAGGTACACAGGTCTACCAGCATTACAAGAGGGCCCCGGATGCATCAAAACTATTACTACTGCTAGAAATGTGGAAAGTCAGACAGGTTTTGTATCTCCATTTAAAAATGCACCTACAATGTCACACAGTGATGTGTGAACAAACACCTACATTTTGATACAGTGACTTATTTACCATCCGATGATCATTATTCTGAGGAGGGTATGAAGTGGCATATTGAAGAGCTGTGAGGCAGAGACAGACTGTACATGCTGCTCTGTGTCAGTGTTAGTTTCCACTTTCCTAGAAGGAATTTCTCAGTTTTTGGATGTGTGTGTGTCTTGGGGAGCATTCCTGCCTCTGTTTCAAGACCATGTGGTTTGTGTGGGCATAGTCTCACAACCAAGAGAAAGGAAGGAAACCATAGACAAAATAAATTATCCTAAGAAGGGTATTGCTTGGCTTTAGCACATTAAGGCCTAATTCACACATTTTATTAAACTATTTGGAGAAGATGCAAAGCTCTGTTTCCAGTAAAGTTGCCAAGCTTTTAAGAAATTAGTCTTAGATGATACAACAGAATGTGGCGTGGAATTAAGCTGACACGGGGTAAATCAGAGCCAAGAGATGGAGGGAGATGCATTCTATCCTTTCAGTTCTAGATGGCATCACACCAGAGCTATTTACCAGAGAATAATTAGGTTATATGAGTTAGCAAATATCCTTTTTTAAAAACAAACTTAAGTCCAGCTTTTATCATTGCAACCCACAGAAATGCAAGTATTTGTGAAATATGTTGGTGAAAGAGAGTGATGAAAGAGTTAAGTGTGAGGACAATGAAAAAGACACAGGCTCAAGAACCTTGATCTGAGAAGTGGCTTTGGTTGTCAGCCCATGGGATTCTAAGAGTATAAGCAGATGAGAAACCTTGTGCCAAGAAATGAGGGTCTGTGATTGCTAACCCTCTGACATGATTCCCAGAGTGTTCTTTCCAGCTCATGTCAACAAGAGTTGGCCAGTTTTCATCATCCATATGCAGAATAATGAGAGTTCTCCAGAATTGGCAAGCAGTTCATTAAAAAGAAGAAATTATTGTATATTTTTCACCTTACACACATGGTAATTTTATTATGATTTATACTTTTCCATTACTTACTACTGGTTGCATGACCTGGAATTGCATGATCAAAAATCAGTCACATTACTGTGAGGTAAGGACCTGGAGCTAGATTTTGTAGCTGTATATGAATGTGTGTAGTCTCATTTTGGAAGTGGCTTAAGAGTGACTTTAGTTGTGTGCATTAGGGTTGTACTTCACAGGGTGCACGGGTTCTTACAATCCAGTGTTTGGAATGAAGTCTGACTTTCAATGTTGCACAGCTATAGTATGATCTGGAACTTACAAGATTTTAGAATTTTGGATTTTCTAAAATTTTGCTTTTCCAATATTCATTTCTCTCCTTTGGGTAATAGTACCTCAATACCTCAGTATTCCTTTGAAGATTCCTTTACCAGATTCATGTAGTAAGTGTGGGGCACAGCTTTCCCTTTGTTCCAGATGTGGCCTCATTACTGTTACCTTAACCATTGGCTCCAGTGATAATCATGTGGCTCTATTCAGGAACTCTCTTCTTCTACCCTTCTAACCTCTGAGATCAGAGGTAAATTTGGAGCATTTCTCAGCAGTCTTGGTGCCATGAAGAAGAACCTGGATGAAAAGAAAACAAATCTGAGGAATTCAGACTAATGAAATAAAGGTGACTGTTTTAGATAATTTGAGGATAAATATACTGCTGCACATTAAATTATGTTCATCACTGTAGTTTAGCTATGTGAGTCAGTTCATTACAGAAAACACATGTCTTATCACTTTCTTTGTCAATGGGACACAAAACCTGACACCATAACTGAAGGAGGAGAGGTTTATTTTGGCTCACAGATGCAGACTCTGCTAGGGTCCAGGGCAGGAATAGATGGTGGGAGGGCCTGATCATGTTGTGGTGGGCAGGAGGCAGAGAGCAAAGGGAAGACCCAGGAGAGAGATGCATCTTTCCTGGTCACATCCCGAGGGATCACCTTTCAGGCCCTAATAACACATTCAACCATGAATTCATCAGTGGATTCTTCCATTGGTGAATAGTGTGCCCCCATGCTCCTACACCTTCCAAAGCCAACCTCAACTCAGATTTTGAGGGGACATTCCCCATCTAAACCATAGTGGCTCACTTCTCTGAGACTACAGAATTCAAGGTCCCTTGAGGCTTCAAAGTAAAAAAGAAAAAAAGAAAGGAAGAGAAAGAAAGAAAGAAAGAAAGAAAGAAAGAAAGAAAGAAAGAAAGAAAGAAATTGGTTTCATAGCAAGATGGAGTCTTATGTAACTGTAAGAACAAAAAACCAAAATACATTCTTCATTTAGAAACCAGTCACAGGTCCCATCCATACTTGAGAGGATGACATGCAAACACCAGCTAGTAAGAATCAAGGAAGCCATCTCAAATTCTGTTTAGCCACATCTAGGAAAAATAAAATGTAATGTCCTAAAAATTCTCCAGAGGGAAGAATTTATTCTAAGAAATGTTAGATGCAAATTAAACTTAATCCCACTACTGAATTATAGAATGCCTTCAAAGTTGAGAAAATATAGCTTTTCCTACCAAAATGACTTTTACTCCATAAATCTGGAAATTAATAGGAGAGTTCTGCCAACCACCTAGCATTGCCATCCTTAATATGCACCAAGGGACAATAACTGACTGCAGATCATTTCCTCAGACCCATGATGTTATGGTTTGGGTCTAGATGTCCCCCAAAGCCTCATGTGGTCATAGGCTTGATCTAGAGTGTGAAGCTGGAATTGATTCATGATGCAATGCTAGGCCAAAGGACACTAGGATTAAGGGTGTGAATGCCACCCGCCCTAAGTAGTCTGAATAAGATAAAAGGGGCAGGGAGACATTGTTAACTCTCTTACCATTGCTACCTTGTGTGTGCCATG